ATTCACTCTAAACTATAAGAGCATACTGATTTTACGATTACTCCAATATTCAGTATTGAAGACAACGATTCATCGTATTAAGTTTGTTTAATAGATGAAACTTTATTTTAATAGAATGTTATAAAAGATGAATTTTTATCGGTTATGTAATTTTTGTTATAATTTTAAAAAGTTTTTGAAAATTTTATGCGATATAAAATATTTTTAGAGTCCTTATAGAGTTATATAGTTTTTTTAATTTCCAAATTTAATTATTGAAACGAATGATTTTTAATTTTATGATTTATGAACTTCTATGAATAGAAAATATTAAGGACTTTGCACAATAAATATATTTATTTGTAAAATACATTTAAAAATATTTTTATTTTACTTGGAATTTTTAACAAATTACCTTGAAAAAGAAATTGATTACCTTGAAGAAATTTTTTCTCTGGTTTGAGTAGACATCCTATTGATACTTAATCTTTCATTCATTTCTGTCAGTAAAATATATAATCTCTATAATAATCTATATAGATTATTTATAACATTCATTTTTAAAGATCAATTCGTTATTGATTAGGAATAATGTTAATTTTAGATTCCAATATTGTGTTTATATTTGAAACAGAATATTAAGATTAGTAAAATTATTATGTTATTAGATGCAGCTACCTTTATCTTTACTCTGAGCCGTCCAACTTACAAAATAAATAATGATATTGTGCACTTTAAATTTTTTTCTATAAATTTAAATCTTAATTTAAGCCTTAATTAAGTATAGATCAATCGCCAATATCTTAGCGCAGCTTATTGAAAAATAACTATGTATGAAGATATTATGATGCGAAGAATTTCGAAAAAAATATATTTATAATTTATATCATGAAAATATAGATCATTGAATAGTTGATGTACGATTATTTTTAAAGAGTTTGAAAGATTAGAAACTTTATGCTGAAAGATAGAAGACACATACATGTGTCTTCTTCTAAATACATATCCATATAAAATTTATTATTTTGTATATGCAAAAGTATTTAATTTAACACAAACTGCAAGTTATTTCGATCAAATACTTTAAATAATGAATTTGAAATCTCATTAATAAAGTAAACTTGATATTATGTTTCAAGAGCAAAACTTATAATTATATTTGTAATTTTATAGACTAATTTAATATAAAAATATTATTTCGCAGATATCGAGTAATTAAGAATTTGATATAGTTATTGTTTGCAGCATGTGCCTTAAATCAAAATTGCAATAAAACTTTAAACCTTCAATGTATGTGCTCTTATTTACAACCTCTATTTTATTATTCATATAAAAAAATTATTAATAATAAGAATGTATTAACAGATAAATATCATTGAATTATTATCTTATCTGGAATAAGAGTAAGTGGCAGTCAAATAAGGACAATGTGTAAAATTATGAAATTAGATTATATTGTTTTTATTTCTCATAGTATTTATCTGGCTTTATAACAAATAAAAATACATACAAATTCGAAATTAATTTTGCTCATATCACGAATTATGTGCTATTATTGTTAACGAATTTACGACACAGCTCAAATCTAATAAATCGATAATTAAATTTTGAAATATTTCAATCAGGAATCGAAACTCATCTGATTATTGCGATAAATATACTACAGTGCTATTGCCTCAGTGATCGAAAGGATAAGATATCTGCTCTGTGAGCGAGTGATCCAGATTCGATTTCTGACTGGGTGATGTTTTTCGCAATAAGAATTTCTGATAGGGGACAAAGGGAGTGATTAATCGATTTCAAAATTTGATTATCGATTTGTTAAATATTGGCTTTGAGCAACACTGCGTCGTTAAAAATAATGGTACGTAATTCGCGATATAAACAAAATTAATTTCGAATTTACACATATAAATACGATAAAAGAAAAATTAGAGAATGTCTGTTAAGGAGGAATTATTCTTTGAAAAAAATTAGTTTTTTATATAGAAATTTATATAGAAATTTATATAGAAATATAATATATAGATATATTCTGATAAAGAATTTACGTTTGCAAATTGTTATACTTTGTGCAACAATAATTTCTATTGGTTACGCCATGTTTTTACAAAATTCGTTTCGACCAATAAAAAGGAACATGTGACCAGATTCATTCTTATAGGAACACCGCAATTACCGCAATTTTGCCATTTGTCTGTAAATTGTCTGTTGTGCGCGCATAACTTGGTGCGACTCGGGCAGTTTTTATGAGAAAAATTAAATGTGGGTAGAATCAATGAAATCTTATATAATTGATATTTTGTCGCATTTTGTAAAACGCGATGATAAATTATGTACAAATTATAATTGCAGTTGATTATTTCAACTATAAAGATCAGATTTTTATCAGATTTTTATCGATATGTAATCGATTTTCTATCTGTCGTCTGACAAAAACAGCGTTTGATATTTAAAAGCGCTTGTTTTATGTTTGAACGAATCGCCGGTCGCTTTCTCGTGAAAGGAGAGGTATGGAGGTCGCTTCTTCATGTTTTCACGCAAACGGTGACGATGGTGAGGTGGGTATCAGTCGGTTGTGAACCGTGAAGTGAGTATGAGTTTATGTTAGTTCTGCGTTATTAAGAACCGATCGATTTCAGAATTGCTTTTCTCACTCGTTGCTCTTTTATAGCTGATCAAATTAGTTACGGAGCGTTTTTATGTATGATATAGATGACGAAAAGTGATCGCATTGATATACACGAAGACAACCTCGGGACAAGACAAGTTCAGAATATAAGATTATTAGAAGATAGAAAAGAATGGGACAGTCGATTTTATAATACATTCACGTGACAAGTTATCATGTGAAGATTAACAATTTAATACAAAATTCGAACGAGATTCTACATTAGTCGTAGAAGCTCATCGCACAGATACGAGAGAGAGAGAGAGAGAGAGAGAGAATGACAGGAGAAAAGAGACAGGAGGAAGAGAAAAAGAGATAGAAGAATCGATCAATGTGACAATTACACATGAAGTAAAATTGTTGCGAAAGGTTGCATAAACACGACCATATTCAAGACAAGCCCTATTGTCGCCCCAAGTGAACGCAGAATTGAAAAAAAACGGACTCGTGGTCATCTATTCAGACGAGACGTGGAACGCGGAAAAAGGAAACGAAACGGAAACGTTGTGTATAAGGAAGCAACAGAGAGAACGGTGACACAATTTTCCTGTCATATCGTCGAGATGGAGTTCAAGTTCAACGTAAATAAAGTGTTGCCTAGAAAGATTAACAAGGTCACGTACAACTTGATACCGGAAGATTTCAAGGGCGATCGGCGCGAGTTGAAGTAAGTACTCTCAAGTCCTAAAATAATTCTCTCGGCTATTAATCGTTCTACATGTATTTAGGCGTATGTGTGATTTTGCGAATGATTTATTTGATATACCTACATCTATAATATAGATTTTATATCTATAAAATATAAAGAAATTTTTTGTACATTGGATATGCGTTGTATTTAATCATAATCATATAACGAATTATCAAAGCTTATGACATATACATAGATAACATCTTTCATATGGTAAAAATGTTTTCCTAATATGATATATTGATATATTATTTTCCAATGGATAGGATAGGTTTCCATATGCATATAGATTTCATACAATTCAACAACTTCTAATGAAAAATATGTTGATACGAGCAATTTATTGATAAATTTATTGACAAATGGCTTTTCTTCTATCAATAATTTATACCTTATATTACTAGTTTAATTGAATATTGGAGATTTTACTTGAATTTATTAAAACATTTATTTAAAATTTATTAGTATAAGGTTAAAATTTTATATGTGGAATAATGCTGCACTCAATTAATGCTTTGATAAGCATCTGATCGAAATATCATAGAATATAATAAATACATTACAGTATTCATCTTTAGCTTGCAAATGCTGTAATATATGCTTGTTATGACATATATTACAATGCATTTACTTTATTTAATTGCTTCAAAAATAAATAATAAATATTTCTTTTTTTCTAGTGAATGTCAGAGACTATTAAGTAGAATATTGGATGATATGGGTGAGGCATCGGCGAGAGCTCAAGGTCTCAACAAATCCGTTACGAGTGCTCTGAAACTTCGAGATACGGATCACACGGTTTACCTTCTCGTAGATAATAACGCAAATAAGTAAGTCCTTCTTTCTGCACTTATGGATTTATTTGAAATACACCTATACAGCACAAAGCTTAGATATAGCTCCTAAGGAATTTAAATTGCTGAGGAGCTTACAAAATTCGACTAAATAAGCTCACAGGGAATTCATTTCGCTGAGCTAAAATACCTGCAAGATTTTTATATAAATATTGTATAAAAAATTTAAGAATAAAAATTAAGTTGAAATTTGAAAATAATTTTATTCATTTATTTTTTATTATATCGAATTTTATAATATCCTAAGTAGCAAGACGTCATTATGACAATGATTTAAAGGTGTAACATCCTCCAAAGTTATCTTGCAGAAGATTATGATTCATTCATATATAAAATGCGTGTGCTTGTTTTTTTAGCGGATTCGGCAGCGTGGTGGGTTTACTGAAAACAGGATCAAAGAATCTGTTTTTATTCGATGAAACAGGGGAGCATTATCAACTACAGGCAAGATGCATCTTAGATTTCTACGTACATGAATCGCGACAACGAATGGGTCTAGGCAATATTCTCTATCAACACATGTTACATGTAAGTTTAGTGTACACGTACTTGATCTTTAAATTATACTAAATTATATTAATTAAATTATATTAATTATATTTAAATATTTGCCAAAAGAAATATTTAATTGTAGTTTAAATTGATATATAGTTAATGAATATCGATTAATTTATTAATTGATCGATAATAACTAGTATAGTTAAGAAAAACTATAATTAAAATTAGTACACATACATATTTTTTTCAATCCTTCAGATAATCAAAATTGAATTTTTGATTGAAAATCCAAATGATATTTTACGCAGAAAAATATTAAATACAAAAAGAATAATTATTGTATAAGAATATACTAAATTTTTTATTTGAAATTTAGTATGATTAATGTTTTATTTACACAGAATATAAGTGATGGAATATTAATATTACATTTCCAAAAAATGTGTTTGTCAAAGATAACTGATATGTCTGATGTAACATTTTTTCTCATTAATTGTACGTTCATAATAATCGCAAGAAACAGGCTATTCTCAGAAGAGAATTTTCGCTATGATGTATCATATCTTTGATTTATCATATAAGGCATATTACTTCCAGAAATAGAAGGCATCGTATGCAATCATAATTTAGATTGTTAATGTTCCGTGCAAAGCAGAAGAATGATAAGTAAAATGATCATATGTTAATTTTAACCTATTCGCAAAGTAACAAAAATAAGATTTTTGTGTCACCCCTGTGTGAAAAAAAATTTCTTAGATTTTGATATAATTTTAGTATTAAGGGTTTTGAGGTTGCTGAATCCGAATATATCAGAACTTCAAAATTCAAAATGGCGGATTTATTATGGCGAATTCAAAATTTGGGAAAATAATTAGGTTCTTATAAAAATGATTATTCCAAATTTTTCAAGGTTGATTTGGAAAAGCCACATAAGCAGCAACTCACCATTTTAATTTATTTATTTAATATTATTAACGCAAAAAGAGAAACTAGAACAAAATACAAGATTACATCATTGGAAAAACTGATTAGGTATTGATATGTCACAGGTATCAATAATCGCAATTGATTCATTCTTTTACGATGTCATATCCGTTGTACTGAAAACATTTATGCATTTTCGAAAACATTTATGTTCCTTCCTCTTATTCTTTATTCAATAATACGCCCATGTGTATACATCTGATTATTTTTCTTCTACAATCTTGGCCTTATACGTCTATATTTGATAAAATGATTTCGTTCATAGGAGGAAAATGTTAGACCAGTGAAATTGGCGATAGATCGACCATCGGAAAAATTTTTAGCTTTTCTACACAAATATTATGGACTCTCGAAGATTATTCCACAGAATAATAAATTCGTTGTTTTTGAAGGGTTCTTTGATGACGGTACGTAATTATTTGTTTTGTATGTATTTTTGTTGAATTACACAAATAGTAAATTTTAATAAAATAATTTATATCTTTGAGTACTAAATATAATCTGTACAGACAATAAAGAGACTCATGGACACATACGGTTGGACGAGATTTTAAGCACCTATTTTTTTTTTATTTAATTAAATAAATTTAATGAATCATTTCTAAACTTAACTGCCAGCCGTTTACGGACTCAAAAAACATAATAATTGAATGCTATGTCTAATTTCCCAATATCTTGATAATAATTAGAAATTTGTAAGAAATATTTTTAAGAAGGTGCGTAAGATACTTGCTCGGGAGATCCAGATTCGATCCTTGGCTGAGATAATATCTTTCACATTAAAAAAGAGGGACTCTAAAAATGGCCAATTTTGGCTACACCTTTAAAATCTAGTTAATGTGTAATTTTTCATATCCAAAGATCATACATTCATGAAAAAAGCTTATTTACTTAAAAAAGCTCAGAAAACCTTCCATTCTAAATAATAAAATAGGTTGTTTGAACACTTTCAAAAAAATTTATTTCTAATGAACGATGATAAATTTCAAAACTGATGTGTTTAAATTTAATCGATGTTAACACATTAAATACTGTAAGATTACATTACTAAGAAGATCCACAAATATATATTTTTATATTTATACACATACACAATGTGCACGTACACGTTTACACACACGCATGCATACACACGTGCATACGCGCGTGCATACGTGTATGCGTCCATACGTAAATATTAAATTCTCATCTGGCATTATATTTCTATTTTCGTAGAGCGGAGATATGTGAGGAACAACAGATACAGCCTACCTCCCAAAGCAAACTTGAATGAGAATATACCAAGTAATAATGACAATAGTGGAAAAAACGCTAGGTGCGTCCGATTAAACATCATGTGATTAGAAAACGCTAACTGTGAATCGTAAATCATTTGTGATTATATAAAAGAAAATGACATATTTATTTTCAGTCTCAATGCGGTCCCATATGTGACATCCGTTTCTCGTGGCTCATTTGGTAGATACGCAGCTGCACGACCGCCTTGTTCTATGGCAAATGTGAGTGTAACATAAAGAATAATATAAAGAAGTAGCTGAAAATGTTGTTTTTATTGTTGTCATATATGTGTATATTTTAATTATTAATTTTTCATAGATATAGTAGTTATTTCATAAAACTTATGTATTAATGTATGTGTAAAATATATGATATATTATAGAAGAAAGAGAAAGCACAAAATATATCTTTTAATATTTTTAAAATTTAAAACGAAGTTTTGAAGTTTATAATGATTAAAGCTTGAATGTAATATTACTTTGGAAACTAATCATATAATGTTGGTTGATTTTCTTAGCTTTTCTCTTTTTCTTAATATTATAACAATACAGTGTGACTAATTCTATATATGTTCTATATATATTGACATTTTCTTTTAGATAATTCATAACACAGCGGTGCTTGGTCAATCAGCCGAGCATACCGGGTGAGTAAAATTCTCGCACTGGTCCTTGAGTTGCTTCAAGTCTGTTAGTTTATAATTTTAGTTAGTTTATAATTTTTCTTAATATTTAAGGCTCCTGAGTAATCAGTTGAGAACTCCGCGTTGACGATAGCGACGTACCATGAAAAATAGAAGCCCATTCACCCTTGTTCATCTTTACATAAGTGACATGTGAACAACGAAATTTTTTATTGTAGCTATTTTCATTATTATATGTTTAATCGTGCAGATATGACTTGTTTCATACTTACCAGATTCATAAAAATGAGCAGCAGCTAAAATTATCTTTGGACATTATATGTGAAAGCATTTTTTCCACTTCTTTCAACAGCTGTTAAATCATGTGTTTTCTGCTTGAACAGGCTTTATTTCATATGCCTTTTACAACTATTTATTGACTGTCAGGAAGAGAAAGGATAGCAGCCCATTTTCACAAGTATCTTAAAGCCATATCAGTGTTATTTTAGTCAAATATCTTTTTATCTGCAAAATTATCGCAATAAACTTTATTGTATCATTTCTCGCCTCTGACGTCACGATTCCAATATGGTCACAGTGACTACTCAGGAGCCTTAATTAAAAAATTTGTGTAATAATAATATTCCATGAGAAAAATATCCTTGCATGCAATAATATATTTTTAATTTGCTAGAAGGTTATTCTTTTATGGTTTTAGAATGGAAATTTAATTTTTAGGAAATTTAAAGAGAAATTTTTAGTTATAAATATAAATTAGATTAATTAACAGATGTAGCACGTTTTAGAAAGCGGAATTGTAAAAGAAAATTTATGAGGATGTATGTTGCTTGTATTTATATTTTTGTATTGTTGAATATTTTTATTTTTATAATGATTATTACCAAAGCTTTAATTAATTTTATTAAAAATGTATTTTATTAAAAACATATGCTCAATACATTTAAAATACTAAATAATCCGGAATACTTTAAATAATTCATAGTGATGATTATATTGATGATTATTAATCTGACTTCATTATTTGCAGTATTGAAAAGTTCATTTAGTTAGCAGATATATGTAATAGTACACAATAATGATTTAATAATATTAGTATAATGTCGAAAAGTACAGCTTATTGAAACACTCTTTTTACACTAAACATGAATTTTATCTCTTATCGGAGCATATTTAGATATATCTTTTCGGATTATCTTAGGTTTATTTTCTGTTCTTGCGCTAGGATTGCATTAGAACTGAACTGAATTGAACTAGTGCAAGCCAGAACTGACAGTGTATGCAGACAAGGAATAGAAAATGTTCTAGATGGTATAAAATAAAAATGGTGTCTCATATTATTTATACGGAAATATTAGATTCGTCTGATGAAGATGAAAGTATAAATGCAATTCCATCATTAGGACCATTCATAATTGAAGATAATGGTACGAAATATTTTTTAAAATACTTATATCTTTATATCTTTTTTGATATTGTAATTTATTTTTTTTATTTATATTATTATATATATTATTTATTTATTTAATTTAATGTTCAATTGTTACGATTTTTAATTAATTAAATTGTGATTCGTATATCATTTTATGTTAGTGTTGTAAATATTTAAGAATTACGCGTGGATTCTCGCACTATTTCAAGCTCTGTTTTCTGTAGCTGAATTAATACACGCTGATGCTTGCACTGACTCTAGATCTAGTGCACAGCCAGTTCAATGAACTCGTGTACGAAGTTTGTTGCACTGGAATAAGAAACAATGCCATTGACATCATTTTGGAAACAGAAAATGGCACACTTTTTGAACTAATGTAACCAGTGCAGGAACAAAAACCAACCTGTTGATTACTCAAATTCCAGATTTCATAAATATAAAATGAAATTTATTGATCTTATAGATCTATATTTTATATTAAGAAAACATAATTAGTACGAAACCACAAAAATATAAATCGACAATAGTTATAAATAAATATATTAAAAACAATCATGGCATAGTAGACAGCTCATTGGTCTACTGTGCTAGGTACGTTCCGGTTTGATTCTCGTCAGAGCCAAAATATTTACGCTCGTTTTCTTTTCAAAGACAATGGTAAATTATCGAAAGTAGTCTTGCCAAGAAAATCTTTCTATCAAAATTAATCGT